TGTCAACCTAAGAGCATTGTCAGGCTTTCTCTTCAACTATAAGATGTCCCACTCAGTCATCTTACTCACAATCCTGTAATAAGGTTAGGAGCTTTCGTAAAGAGCGATAACTTGTTGTTCCACACTCATGTTTTTGCAATTACTGTAAATAACGTGTACTTTACATTACTGTCAGATTTTGTTTAATCCACGCTTCAGTGCCCTGTTCCACCAACTTCAGCTAAGTTTCTGTAGCCTACAGTATAAAGATTGACTGTTTGGGTTCTAAACTGTCCTAAAGCCAACAATGATTCAAACCACTAATTTCCAAGTAATAATACAAATGGAGGAAGCCTCTTACAGGAAGCTGCCACTGCCATTCCACTGCTTCTGCAGCAGTATAAACTTCCAGGTAGGGTGGTGGCTGCTAGAATTAAAAGCTCTCTGCTCGATTCATTGAGTGGTAGGGTTTTAAATATAGACCAGGTGCTTCAGTGCACTATTGAACTCTTGAATAAAGGCTAAATGGACTTGATAGCTAAATGAAATTGGAGAGATTAACAAAAAGAGTGAGGGAGATAAAAATCTGGGAAACATTGAGCAGGATATGAGAGAACACTAGGCTTGCTGGTGCTTTCGTGCCTTGTCTGCGCTCCAGATGTAAATGAGCAACTGTGATTCTTTTCAAAGGAAATGAAGCCGCGCTTGATGCCCAGTAACTCACTTTCTACATTTGGAGCAAATGCACACATAAGCAAAACACAAAGATGAGCTGTGGTGGGTGGAAGTGGCAGGCTGATAAAGGGGTGGGTGTGATGTGATCAGATAGGATCTGTATTATTCAAGCTCCTTGAACGAAGACAAACAACTCCTGCCAACTGATTTCCTTTGAAGAAACACCCCTAAGTTGGACATCTCCACAGGCCCCTTTTTGACAAGCTTTCACGCAAGTGTATCACTCTCACACATCATTTCCTTCCATGGTATCGCTGCAACAATGACCTGGTGGCATACACCTGGCTCACAAGCCCCCCCCCTTTAAATTAAACTGATGGATCATGTAAAACATTTTTAAAAATGTGACAGAAAAACCTCTGGGTTTTTAATTAGCAGAGTGAAAACAAAAGTAGGAGTTGTGATAGGGAGCTACTGGACGGACTGTGGGCACTCAGAGGCAATCACTCTCACATGTCAGTGTGCGACCCCACTGGCCCCGTCATAGCCTGCATTCATCAGTGGTTCAACATTTACTCATGTGTAACAATAACTTCACTTGAGCCTGTGAGTACATCACGGCTCAGCCACCAACTGCAGGGGAAAACAAGACATGCAGAGACAGAGAAGAGAATCAGAATCAGCTTTATTGGCCAGGTGTGTCGGACACACGAGGAATTTGGCTCTGGTACATCGGCTCTCAATGTGTATGTACATATCCCCATGCAAGGGGCAAGTAAACAGTAAACCAGCGTAAGGCTGTGTAAGATAACAAAAATAATAAGCAGTATTAACAAGCAACAAACAGTGCAAACAATGCAAAATAAACAGGCAGTAAACAATGCAGACAAACAAAGGTATTGCTCATTGTGAAATGAGATAAATAGGAATAAAAACAAAGTACTTAAAACTAGAGACCTGTACGAGTCTGTATAATCTGTACAATGTAAATATACACAGGTATTTCGCTGAGGGTTATTGTCCAGTCATACTGTCATTGGTTAAGTGTTCATCAGAGCAATGGCCTGAGGGAAGAAACTGTCCCTGTGCCTGGTTGTCTTGGTGCACAGTGACCTGTAATGCTGTCCCTTGAACCCTTCCTTGAGTTAATGACCTCAAAAAAGCTCATTAGAGTCAGGTGTTAGCATACCTGGAGTCTTGTTAAGAAAATGAGTGCACAGTGACCTGTAACGCCGTCCAGAGAGGAGGAATTCCAACGGTATTGTGTCCCGGGTGTGAGGGGTTTGCAGTGATCCTCTCTGCCCTCCTTTTGACCCGTGAGGTGTACAGGTCCTCCATGGAGGGCAGGCTTGTTCCAATGACCTTTTCTGCAGTCCTGACTGTCCACTGAAGTCTGTACTTGTCCTGTTTAGTTCCTGAGCCAAACCAGACAGTGATAGAGACACATTTCAGCCCTCTGCACTAGAAGAGTAACACAAAAGACAGCATTGTTGTGGTGTCTTTCTGACCTCAGCAGTTCTGGCATGACACTGAAAGCAGTGGCTCACTGTACTCCCAATCCGAAACACGGCAAGCTCCATGTGATGACATAACCTCCTGAACCAGACTCTCTGCTCAGGAGATGGTTCCTTCTTCAACTTTTGTTAATCAGATTTTGGTGGAGGGGCTACATTTAATCTACCGGGTTTAATACTATAAGCAGTAGACACATTTTTACAAACCTCATTTCCAGAAAAGTTGGGACATCTGTTATTTAAATGACAAAAGTACAAAGAAAGGGATTTCAATGTTTTCACTGACCAACTTAATTGCATTTTGTAAATAAAAACAAATTTAGAATCGAATACCTGCAACACACACAAAAAAAGTTGTGACAGAGGCAAAACAAGACTGAAATGTTTATATAAACATTCCAGGAACACCATTCTGGAAGATTCCAAAATTAGTAGGTTAACTGGTAACAAGTGAGAGGATCATCACTGGGCATAAAAGGAGCATCTACCAAAGGCTCAGTCCTTGCAATCAAGGATGGCTCATGGCTTAACACTTGGCAGTCAGCTCAGAAAGAATATTTCTCAATGCAATATTACACCATCTACAGTACATAATATTATGTGAAGAGACAGGGAGTCTGGAGAAACCTCTGTGCTTAAAGGCCAAAGACAAAAAAACCACTGTTGATTGTGTGTGACCTTCGAGCCCTCAGGAGGCACTGCACGAGAAACCGTCACGCTACCCTTGTCCATGTAGCCACACGGGCTCTGGAGGACTTTGAAAAACCACTGTCACTTAACACAGTCCACCGCCACATCCAAAGCAATTCTGCAAACTCTATTATGCCATGCATTAATTCTGTGCTGAAACACAACAAAGTTTTCTGGGCCCAAGCTCATTTCAGATGGAATGTAAGACAGCTGAAACGTGTTCTGTGGTCAGACAAGTCCACATTTTAGCTTGTTTTCGAGAAAAACAGATGTTGGGTTTTCCAGGCCAAAGATGAAAAAGACCATCCATATTGTTATCAGCAAAAGGTGCAACAGCTAGCATCTGTGATGGTACGGGAGTGCATCAGTGCCCATGGCATGGGTGACGTGCTTACAGTGGCAAGAAAAAGTATGTGAACCTTTTGGAATTTCATGGTTTTCTGCATTAATTTGTCATAAAATGTGATCTAATCTTCATATAAGTCAAGAGTACTGTGAAATAATAACAACACACAAAAAATTCTGATCTTCCATGTCTTTTTTTGAGAACCATAAAAACTCCATAGTGCTAGTGGAATGTGAACCCTTGAGTTAATGACCTCAAAAAAGCTCATTAGAGTCAGGTGTTAGCATACCTGGAGTCTTGTTAAGAAAATGAGTTTGGAGGTGTGGACTAGAGCTACTCTGATAAAAACCACTCAAACCTTTTGAGTTTGCTCTGCACAAGAAGAATATGCTTATGTTCACCATGCCTCACCAAAAAGAGCTTTCAGAAGGTCTATGATCAGGAACTGTTGATTTACATAAAGCTGGAAAGGGTTACAAAATGATGTCAAAGACTTCAAAAATTCACCAGTCTACAGTTAGGCAAATGATCTACAAATGAAGACACTTTGGGACTGTGGCTACTCTACCAAGAAGTGGGCACCCAGTCAAAATGACCCCAAGAGCACAACAAAGACTCAAAGAGATAAAGAAACAACCTTGAGTGACAGCCAAAGATTTGAAGGCGTCATTGGAACTAGCTAACATCTGTGTTCATGAGTCTACAGTACATAAAACATTGAACAAGCAGGGTGTCTATGGCAGGACACCATGAAGGAAGCTGCTGCTTACTAAAAAGAACGCTTCTGCACGCCCGAAGTTTGTGAAAGAGCACATTGACACTCCACAGCGGTATTAGCAAAATGTTTTGTGGATTGATGAAACTAAGCCTGGCCAGCTTGCAATCATTGAGGGGAAGATGAATTCCCAAGCGTATCAAAAAATTCTTCAGGATAGGATGTGAGAATGTCTGTATGTCAGCTGAAACTCTGTAGAAGTTGGGTGATGCAACAGTACAATGACCCATAACACTGGAGCAGGTCCACAACAAAATCCACCTTTTGGAGTGGCCAAGTCAGTGCCCAGACCTCAACCCAAAGAGATGCTATGGAATGACTTGAATAGAGCCATACACGAGAGATGTCCAAAGAATATGACAGAGCTAAAGCAGTTCAGTCAGGAAAAACTGGCTAAAATTCCTCCTGAATGATGTGCAGGTCTGATCCACAGCTACAGGAAGCGCCTGGTTGAGGTTATTGCTGCCAAGGAGTGGGTCAACCAGTTATTAATTCCAAGGGTTCACTTACTTTTTGCACTACCATTTTAATTGTTGAATGGGATCAGAATTGTGTGTTATTATTTTAGGTACATTATATTTGTCAATACTCAACTTAAATGAAGATCAGGTCACATTTTATGACAAATTAATGAAGAAAACAGCTGAATACAGCTCTGCCACTGACAGCACTGCAACAAAAAATTCTCGTGTCCCAAAAACATTTTCTCCATGCACCAAAATGATAAAAAAGGCATTTGTAAGACTGCAGACAGGACACCTCAAAATATACACAAGGTCAGCTATTGCTCTTTGTATTGTGAATTTTGAATCCATGGAGGTTTAATATTTGTGAAACGTATCCCGAGCTTAAAAAACTAATGCACATGTACTGTGGGCCCAAAAATGGGGGACACAAACCCGAACGAGAACATTTTTTTGGGCACATGGACCAGATGAGCAACCTTTACTTAAGTGACGGGCTGCCATGTTTCAGTCCAAAATCCATGTTACCTTAATACATGAGGTCAACCTATGCTCACCTGGCTCAACACGATAAAAGCAGGCTGAACTGAGCTGATGAAAAAAGGCCATAAGCTTCCAGCTCTATGAGAAAAAGCAAACATCAACAGATTATGATTAAAAGCTCTGGGAAAAATCAAGTAAGTAGATATTTAGGTTTTTATTGTCCCACAGTGATGCATTTGTCTGTGCATCCTTATTAATGTTGTTCATTCAGTTGGATATTTGCACCTTACTGTACATTTGTTCTCTGCAATGATTATAGGTATAGTGAGAGCTAATGGCAACCAAAGTCAAACTCTGTATGCATCAACATCCTTGGCTAAGTTCAAATTGGCTGAAACACTGTAACCACAAAATCCTGAGTAGTGCTAAAAGGATTTGACTATTATAGTGATGCAGCTAACAACTGTTTCAATTATCAATTCATTTTTTAATTTCTCTCAATTAATAAATTCATTATTTGGTCTATCAAATTACAGAAAATATTGATGTCATAATTTTTCATTGCTCAAGTAAAAAAACAATGCTTGTTTTGTCTGACCACCAAACCCAGACATGTTCAGTTTACAATTATAGAAGATTAAAGAAACCAGCAGATATTGATATTTGATGAGCCTGAATCACTTTCTGGGTTATTTGGCAGCTGTAAAACATGCTTTAACCAGGCTATTTGACCTATTCCCTAAAGAATACAGTGAGATAAGATCTAAAAAGCTACAAAGAAAACCTTTGAACTTAGACAATTTTGTTCTGCAATCTGTTCGTAAAGGTTAAGACTGAACTTACAAACAAACTTGACAGCACTCAGAAAGTTCCACTTACCCCAAGGGCAACTCAGTTTCCCCATAATGCCATAAAAGTAGTGCTGGGCAACGATTAAAATCCTTAATCACGTTAACTGCATGATTTTTCTGAGTTAACTGCGATTAACTGCATTGATATGAGCAGCATTCAATAATGAATTCATAAGTAGTGTATTGTGCACTTGTATTTTAAAAGTACTACTATATGAACAAAAGCGCAATAACATTTGGTTTGCAAACACTTTAAACAAATAAGGTACTTTTTAACAGAATCATTCCCTTTACACAGTAGCAGAAAATGTCAAACAATGTAATCAAGCTCATATCAAGGCACATCAATCAAGGCTCATACGTGCCGTCATTCATTGTGATCCTAATAACGTTCCTCAGACCAACATCTTCCACAGTACTAATTGGCCTGCAGTTTGTAGCTATCCACTTAGCTATGGCATTTGTTAGCTTGTCTTGCTTTTGTTTATCTATACTTCTCCCACACGCTACATCGAGTAGTCTGCCGAACCCTCCCTCCGCTATTTGTTTGGGTGGGTGATTTGCTGGCATTAACGGTGTGTATTGCATTTAAGTGATACTTCTGACTCGAAGTACTCCGGGGATAACAAAATTCAGCTTTGCACTGGCTACAAATAACTTTGTTCTATCAACTCTGCCGTGTGGAAGAGATTTAAATTGAAAAAGTCCAAGAGTCCTTTACCTTTCTCAATTTTTCTGTCCCTGGAAGTTACACAGTGTTGCCAACTCACCCTCCTCTTTTATCCGGGCTCAACGGCAGCAGTTGATAGCTCCTGTGAATGCGAAAATACCATAACCTTAGATTTCTTGGGATTTAAGACCAACTTCAGCGACTGCAGGCGAAACTGAACAATGTCAAATGCATGTTGTAAGCATTTTGCCGCCTGGGCAAGTGTAGAAGAACAACAATAAATTACTGTATCATCCGCATAAAAGTGATACATAGCATTTGTAAGATTGTCGCACACATTGTTAATATAAATAGAAAATAAAATTGGTCCAAGGACCGAGCCTTGCGGCACCCCTTTTAATATTTCTAAAAAAGACGAGGAAGAACCTCCCAATTGGACAGCTTGCCTCCTATTTGAAAGATAATTCCTAAACCAAGGGATCGCTCCCTCTGACAAACCAATCCTTAACAACGAGTTAATCAGTAATACATGATCAACAGTATCAAAAGCCTCAGAGAGGTCAATAAATAAAGCTACACAGTGTTTTTTACAATCCAATGCCTGTAACACATCATTTAAAAATTTTAATGTGGCAGTAACAGTACTGTGCTGTTTTCTAAAACCAGATTGAAATGGGGACAATATGTGATTTGATTCTAAAAACCCCTTAAGTTGGTCACTCACTATTTTTTCTAGGATTTTCGCTAAAACACACAGTTTAGAAATTGGCCTATAATTATTAACTTCCGATGGATCACCTTCCTTTAAAAGGGGAAGAACAAAAGCTGATTTCCAAATCACTGGAATTTCGTTACTACTAAGACTTAAATTAAAAACATAAGACAGTGGTTCAGCTATATAGTCTGCAGCCAATTTTAAGAAAAAAGGATCCAGTCCATCAGTCCCAGCTGCTTTGCTAGTATCCAAATTGCTTAATGCACTATGATCCTCAGAAATAGGCACAGAAGTAAAAGACGAGTTCATAGTAGATTTTACAGTCCTCCAAAACATCTTAGGATCATTTATACTCTTTGATATTTCAGCAAGATAAAATTCAGACTTTGACCTCCTTACCAAGAGTGTACATTTATTTCGTAGCTGTCTAAAACGAAGCCAATCTCCTTCTGTTCCACTCTTTCTGGCCTGAGCCCAGGCAATATCTCTTTCCTTAAGGAGGTTACCAATTTCCAACGAAAACCAAGGATTATCACGCCCCTTCACTCTAAAAGAGCGGAACGGCGCATGCTTATCTATCAATCTTAAAAACTCTTCATAAAAATACTGCCACGCTAATTCTACTGAATCAATAAGGGAAATTCTATACCACGGAAAAGAGGACAAATCACGTACAAAGGCCTGTTCATTAAAACGCTTAAAATCTCGTTTAACTAACTAACTATTGATTGCTCTCGTACCATGGGTTATATGGGTTTTGCCACAAGGTATGTGAGTTATGCAACGCTGACAGTTCCTGTGCGTTGCCAATAGACATACGTGGTGTTCTTTTTGTTTGTGGCTGCTGTACGTATCTGACGGTGATCTTCCCAGCCATGGGTACCTGACAGCTAGCGCTACACCTGCCATACCTGGAGTTCTTTGTTTTATGCTACTCATCTGCTGTCCTTCTGTCTTCTTCTCTGCTCGTCCTGGTCTCCTCGACCATCTCCACCCTGTCCCTGGTTCAGTATTATTCATTGACTCTCTTATGTTGTTACTTTGTGTTCTTTTTCCAGTAAACCACCATTTTTCCACTTGTACCTGGGTCAGCACACTTGACTCCAACCCCAGTTCTCCCTCACCCTCCTGGTGAGGGGGACTCAACCATAACAGAACTAATCAAATAAAACGAGCTCAAAGAACGTGTATCGCGTTACTACTGTTGTGTCATCCGCGTTCTGCGGAAAAGCGGAAGTGCGCCGACCCGTTTTCCGGTTTGGTCACGTGACGTTCCGCATAACCCCTATTAATTTCTACTAAATGGTATAAAACGAGTGGGGGAGCCCAAACAAGTAAGAAACCGAAAACATTCCATGCAGAATGGGAAGAGGACTTTTTTTTCGTGATGACATACTCGAAGTGCGTTTGCTTGATCTACCAATCTACCATCACTATTCCAAAGAAGGGAAATGTGGAGCGGCATTTTCGGACTGTTTATAAAAACGACACTCATTCATACATATATTTTGTGTGTGCGCGCGCGTGTGTAGGTCGATCATTTTGACACTGTCATTTGAAAAGTAGCTCGCAAAGCGAAAAAGTGTGGGCACGAGACTGGCTTCTCTCCTGTATGATTTCACAAGTCTCTTCACACCTTATAACTTCACATAAACTATGCATGAGCTTCTAATGTCTAACTGAAGGGGTGTGTGACCTATGCTATTTTGACTCTCTCTGCACTGCACCGCACCGTAATGTGACACATCATCCAGCAAAGTGACTGCATTGACCAATCCTGTACGGGGACGATCAGAACATGGGCGCCCACGAGAAGAAGACTTGTTTACTTTGTTAGCATTAGCATTCACTGCTATTCACTGTCAAATTTGTCACCATCTGGTGCATTGAAAGCTGAAACCGATCCAACCCGCACGGTGTCGTTTTGCTGGAGCCTCCTGCGGTGCCAGTGCTGGCTACGGTGTATGCAGTCCTACATAGAAATTAATGGAGAGGGCTGCGTTTTTCACATCTTTGAAACTCAGTCAGAAGCTCATGCATACTGTAGTTCATGCACAGTTCTAAGCTCTAAGGAGACCTCATACAGGAAAGAAGCCAGTCATTTGACTTTATGGTAAAACCTTTTATAGTGCTTTTATATTGTTGTCTTTTATTGCATATGAGAATTCAAACTCATGAAGTAGAACTCAAGTCACTGTCATTACAAAATGATTAGTTAAAACATTTCAAAATTAACCTGCATTGCTTTGTATTTTGCGACTTTCAGTTGAATAAAAGAATATTTTTCCAGTCATATATTTTGTCATAAGTATTCTTAAAAATGGCATTAAAATATAATCTCATCTCGTTCTCGTGAAGCCAATATTGTGTATTGCCTCGTGTCGTGAGCTAAGTGTATTCTCACACCCCTAGTACACAAACCTTCTGGGAGCATTGCCATTGTTTGAGTACTGACTTCTAAAAGACATGGGGGTGATTAGTTTCATTATCAGTTAATTTATTGATATTTTTTTAAATTATGGTTAAGATTATAAAAAATGTCAAAAATACAGAAAAATCTATCTTGAAATTCTTTGTGTTGTCCAAACCCTTCAGTATATCATCACACCCCCACTAAAGTCCCATTTCCACCAGAGGCACTTTCCCTGGGGGAGTAGGAATCGTTTTCAGAATGTAGTTCCTCGATCTGAGTTTCCACTGGAGGAGCCAGGGCCTAAATTTGGTTCCAGAGTGTAGTTCCACCCTGCAAAAACAGTACATAGTCAGGGGGTAGTACTTTCTGAAAGTCCAAGAACTATTGAGGCGAGGGCTGAATGTCGCTGATTGGTCAAATAAATTGGTCAAATCTTCCTGTGCTCCAGCCCTGCTGTATAAATGCAATTCACAATGTTCTTGAGGCTCTTTTGCGCAGGGACAATTATGGGACTTTAGTTCCCAGAAATAAAAAGAGTCAGGAACTTTATGGTGAAAACCGACCTCAACTGAGTCTGAGTGGTTCCTGCTTTATTGCCTAATTGAATTTGTGAAATCAAATTACCTTGTGGCAAACTTGAAGCCAGGTAGAGTTGGCCATTGCATGGAGGATGGGAGAAATACAGGGCTAATGGGCCCACATGCTCATTTTTGTCCTGGGGTCGCTACTAAATTGTTTTGTCCATATCCAGTAATAAAACAAAAGTGATAAGCCCATGACATCAAACAACAGATTACATAGTAAAGTTGTTCAAGTTTATAGGGACTATTCATCAAACATACAAGACTCACTTGTTAGCGGACACCACATGCACACACTTCTTCTAATACATTAGAGTCGCTGTTTTCTCCTCTGTGTGATAACCTGCCTGATCAAGGCTCTCCTGCCAGCACAAAGTATCCATCTGACAAGTCGGTGACGGGGTGAACTGTGATACAAACACAGCTCTTTGGCAGAGTTTCATCACAAGAAGACAAGCTGTTTAAAACTGTCTAAATTGGCCAATAAGCTTGATACAACTGACTTTCATCAGTGATATCGCATACGCCTCAACCACTGGCACAGAGAATTAAAAAGCAGCATCCCTTAACTCATAACTTGTTCCGACAAGAGCAGGGGGGTTTTCTGCAAAAAGCCACAAGTCAGAAAAGAACATGTGCAATACAGAATTCCACTGCAAAAATCCCATCTTTAGCACTTCAGTAAGGAATCTTATTTAGCCTGAACTCAGCAGTCACAACAGCACATGGTTGTAGAAGCAGCAGCTTTGTCTTCTTGGTGTGGAAATCTTACACTTAGTGGAGTCAGCGAGCTGTCTACCAGCTACCAGCACCACTCAAAAATCAAGGAAGCTGGATTTCTGGATATAGGAATGACATGTTTTTTACAACAAAAGGAAATCACCTGCAGTTTTCACTTCAGTGCCAACTAAAATACAATACTGTCTGTCACATGGTGTAAATAGAAGCTGCTTGATTAAGAAACACTACTTGAGGAGGTAACTTGAGACTTAAAAGAGAAACTGTTGGGCACCTAATGGCAGCGACTGACAATATAATTAATTATGCTAATTTTACAAACAATGTGTGGAACAAATGGCTGTGGTTCAGACTGATAGGCTAAAGGAATGGGTGGAAGGATTGTTATAAAAGGAAACAAAAGTGTTGACAATTTTTAAAACCAACTGCTAAATCAAAGGAGCACAGAAACATCCCTTACACGATAAAGGCTGGCATCTCAGGAAGTAGGAAAGTATATATTCTTATTACAAGGCAGGATTGTTACTGTATGCAAGGTAGAATTTTATTGATCCCACAGAGGGGAAATTCCAGTGTTCCAGCAGCAGCAAGGGACAAAACAACATGACACCATAGAATAAACACCATACACATAGCTTGAGAAAACAAGATCCAGGTACCTAGAAACCAAACAAAAATAATAGTTTGTAAGAGACAATCAAGAACAAGTTTGTCCCTGAGACACAAGTCAAAAGGATACCTAGGAACAACACAAAAAAAGAATAGTATTGAGGAATCAAGAAAAACAACCAGGAAATCAAGAACAATCGAATATTACTCTCACAATTAATCCCACAATGGGGGAAAGAAACCTGTATTTCAGCCAGTATGTGAAACATAACTTGAAAAAATATTGGGAGTACAAAAGAAACACCACAGAGAGATACAACAGGTTGGGTAGACAGTCCAGACGTGATGCCACTCACGTGGAGAAATGCAACCTGGTCTTCAAAAAGATACCTGAGCAATGTGTTTCCCCTACGGTATGCACGAGCCTAGAAGCATCCTAGATAAGAGAGCCACTGTGAATCATACGAGGCTGTGTCCTTCATCTGACTCCACTAAGCATCAACAGAAGATACTGAAATGATGATGATGACGACGATGATGCGAACCGACACAACCGAGCGCAGAGGATCAAAAACCTATACATGAAGATGCAGTGAACACTAAAATCCCCCTGTGTAATAACAAACACGGCGTATTAGTCTTTTTTTGCCAGTGACCGTGGATAACCTACTTGTCTAATTAGCTTCTTCATTCCAGTTACACAGGCTCGTTATATGCTGGTGCATATATTTCACTGGATACACACACAGTATCCCATTAAAACAGCCGACGCCTAACTCAGACATCCCTTCCATAAACAGAAGGCGTACAGGGGATGTAGCTAGCTAACAGGCTAAGAACGTTTACGTTCAAGCAATGTCAATAACAATAATACCTGGAAAAATCAAAGTAATTCATTCCGCTTCAGATACAGAAGCGAGCTGAGCGATAAGTAAAATGGAAAACAGTGTTTCTTACCAGTTCAAATGCGTCTAATAATCCTCAGCACTATAGTCCATTGCCGTTATAATTAGATAATATGACAGTAATAAAGACTATGTTGTTGTGGTGGCCCTGATGTCGCCGTGCTGCCCGTCGTAGCCGCTGAGTGTGATGGCGTTAGCTCTGTAGGGCCACAATGAAACGGTTGATGCCTTCAGGAGCTGTAGGAAATGTTAAAACATTAAAGGAGGTAGCACACGCCATAAAACAACAAAAGGGTATGGACTACGTAAAATGATGTAACGAATAGGACCTGGAAAAGTTGTAGATTTTTGTAGTCAATACATGTAGTTAGCTGTTTATTTATTATAATTAAAATTAAAATAATAAACCAACATTTCAAATTGCTGCGCTCTTTAGGGCAAGCGAAAGAAGCATAACGGGACCGGCCCATTGACTGACAGGAAGCTCATCAAATGGGAGGATAGCAAAGGGTGGGCGATGAGTATGGATACATCCATGACGGTGAGTGGGACAGTGATGGAAGTACTAAGTGATACAGAATGTATCCTATGCAAGTTTCTTAGACTAGAATGTCTAGTAAACGTCATAGTTCAAAAGGATTTTATACACATGTCACAGTAAAACTAGCAGGTTGATAACTTTTATTATCTTTTACGGGCTTATAAAGGATAAAAATAAGGTATAAGGCCTCCATAGAATTAAATATAGTTTCATGGAAGCTACGCTATGTTAAATTTAAGAAAATATAGTTTTTGGGACAGACACTGTATTACTGTTAAACTGACTGGTGAACAAGTGATAAACAACTTCTGTTTTACCTGCAGCGTACGGTATGTTATTTCACTTGCCTAACTTTGAAGCGCCATCTTCTGTTTACATGTAGAAAAGCACTTTATTGCTTGAGGCACAAAACTAGCTAAGGAATCATTTATACAACTTATTTAGATACATCCTTTAGTCATGGTTATTGTTGCTGGAAATACAAAATGGCGTCTGAACTTTAATCAGCTGAAAGTTGGGCATATGGTTAGCGAGTGATCTAACTATTTGCTAAAATATTGGAGAATATACTTAGGAGAGGTTCTTCCCTAGTGACAGCCAAAAGGTGTAAATGTAAATTAAGTTGTTTTTTCCCCTTATGCAATTATTAGTTTATAGTGGTTTAACAGTCTTGGACAGTTGTTAGGTATGGGTTTCAGTGCTGTATCTGTGATTTGAGAGAGAATTATTCAACCTTTCATAGGTTTACTCTTAAGCTAAGACTTTATACAAATCACTTAGGCTACCAGTTCAAGGAAAGAAATTCATGAGCAAAACTACTTAGTTATTAGAACTTATTGCATCGTTTCCCTACCAATTGAGGCATGAGATAGCTGAGAAATATCAAAAGAGCTCCTGAGTTTTAAGGTAACCAACCCCTTAACTTAAAATGTGCCAGGTGAATTCTGGGCATTCCAGAGACAAAGTAAGAGCTTTAACTCCCTCACCAGAATGGCAGAACATAGAGCAATTCTTGTTATGTTAAGTTAATGGCTTTTCTTCTGCCCCCCAATAAATTAATACTGTGTTGCAGAAAAGAGTCTTTATTTATCCATGACATATAATTGTAGTATAAAAGTAAATTTAATACAAACATTTTATTATATAATTTACACCGCTGTCTTTTAGAGTTGTGCTGTTGTACATCCTACATAGTGAGGACCAAAAATGTATTTTCAGTCCTCACTTTCTGAAACAGCTTGTTGAGGGTTTGGACTTGTGACTCTGACTGGGGCTGAGCCGGAGATATTTATCCTCCTCGGTGGTGTTTCAGTCCTTTGAAGCCCAACAATGTCCCTTAATGACTGAGTCGTTATAGCCCAGTATCGGTGAGAGTTGTTACCTGCCTTTGAATCCTCCCCTGTCAACTGACGCCTATTGTCCTTGTGGGCATGTTTGGGCAGAGATCTCAAAACAGGATTGTAGATGGACACTGAGTGTTATCCCACTCAGTGTCCATATCTCCGGCTCAACACCAGTCAGTCAGAACTGATGAAGCCTCTTGGATGAGAGGTGAAACGTCTTCGACCATCTGTCAGAAACGGCGCGCGATGCGGCCGAAAAGTGTTAGGTGAACTCATTAAATGTCCAGACAAGGAAGTAATGAACAAAACCCGTCTCCTTAATAAGAGAACTAACGTAAACAAAAAAAAACCATACAAAACACGGTGGAAACACAAAACTCATGGTTGGTATAACAGTCCGAGATAAGGTGAAACAAAAACAGGAAGTAACGTCAAAATAAAAGCCGGACAGGAAGCAGCGGAATCGAATCATGACATAGTCCAGTTGAGTTTTTCTAGGTTTTTCAGCTTCACCCGGATGACTGAGAATCTGTACAGACTGTATGATGATAATGCATGTGAGCTGTGCAGTCGTTTGACAAGTGCTGAAAAGGAGTCTCTGACCACAGATGCTTACAAATAAATCATATGTGACAGTCATGTGCCATTATATAAGCAAGTGGAAAATACGGAGTGCTGTTCTTCAGACTAAGGCAATACAGGAGCAGCATACTGCTGAAAACCTGGTGAATGTGCTTTCCACTGCCGCAGAACACTGGGGATTTATAGGTGAAATCACACCATGCGTACATGACAATGCTAGCAATATTGTGCTTTTGGCGGGGGTGGGGGGTTCTTTGAATAACTGTCGAATAGTTCCCAGTGAATATCGAATAGTATTTTAGCTTGAAATGCCTATCTCTAATACTTGGTACAGACATCAGAGGGGACCAACCCTAGAAGTGATTAGAGTTTGGCTGAAAGGTCAAGGTAAAAAAAAGTAATGAAAAAAGGTTTGTCTCATAGATGTGTCGTGGATCCTTGACATCTATCCTGTGGTATTGTAGATGTTTCAGCAGTCTCTTGTATAGTGTGTGATGCTGTGATACCTGCCAGATGGCTGCCAAGTTAATGATGAGACTGTTATGATGCCAATGTGCAATAAACCACCTATGAGCTGTCAGGGGTTGCAGCCCCAGCGACGTCATGCTCCCATCATCGCCAGCCAGCTGTGCTGGTCAGCCAGTCATCATCTCACTGCAGAGCTAACCATCACAACTCAGTTCCCTTCTTCAGAGTGCAGGCACAACCAATCAGCACTCTTCCCTCCTCACCGAGGAAATTAAGTTGTTGGGGTGAGGTTAGTGAGGTCTCCTCCC